CGGGGCGATGGGAGCCAAGGTGAACCATTGATTTGCTGGTCCGACACAACACAAGCAGCGGCAGCTGCATTCTCAGGCCCAATACATTGGCACAGTCAGCCCAACAAATCATTGGGAACTTGAGACAATTGCCTCTGTTGAACAGTGGACAGTGTCAACAGCCCAAGAAACATGAGCAGCAGGATATACGCTTCATCGATGTTCATATGATATTCTACAATATCCTCTATCCCAGGTCGCGGTTCGGATCTTGTGCCCATCAACCATATGATTTGTGCAGCGCATGGGCCGACCGAATTGACACAGGGGACCACATTTTAGCCCATTCTACTCTTACCAGCTTTGCAGCTTAAGAGTCCTGAGACACCCATCACATATCATCACAAACGAAGAAAACACCTGCAGACTTCTTAAAGGAATGGGGCTGCTTAAGAGGCTGACAAATTACTGCACGGGGCAGGTCCATGTCGATGACGAACACATTGATTGCGTGCCAGCCACATCTGTGCTGACGGTCTGCGAAATGTCTCCCATGGGCATATTGCCCATCCTGGGCGCTTTGCCCATCAAAAGACTGTCCAGCGCTCGGCACAACCTCTTTAATCCAATATTAAAACCGAAGGCCACCATCATCGACCATCCATTTGGGCAAATCTCTTGTCGCAGAGTTGATGTTACTCAAGTCTTCGTTCCTCTTTCAGTCTTAAACCTGATCAACTTCTTCCCTTTCAATACACCTGCCTGGTGGTCGTTCTCTTGGATTGCATGAAGCATGGAATGGTTCTAGTTTCTGGCCGTCTTGCCATCACTTTCCTTGATGACTGTTATTTTGGGGATGCAGGCAGTGGATATTTGGTAACGGCTTCTCTCTACCAACATGCAACCCACATTGCCTATAGGCGTCTCAGCCCCAATGAGGAAACACAAAGTACTCCCGCTGACAAAAACGCTCGAACCCACCCAAAACAAGCAGAACAAGGCTGTGCAAAGCAAAGATATTCTAGGCGTCTGTGTATCTTTATTCAGAATATCTTGTCTAATCCCGAGTTTACATGACAAATCACCATAACAAACATGACCCCAAGATTAACAAACATGAGCTTGAGATATGAATGATTCTGAATGAACAAAATGTGAACAAGTTGGAACCCCTTTGGATCTTAGGTAACAACAACAACAAGAACAACAACACGTGACAAGGACAAGAACAACAGCAACAACTAAATACCATGGATCAATTATCATTCCATGTTGATTTTAACCTGCCTCAACCCTCATCGTCTGATCTACTTAACTTTGGAGGAGCCTCCAAGCCATCTTCCATGAACTACCTACCTCTGATCCAACGCTGTCGAAGCTGAGCCTCAAATTCAGCCCCACACGCGCGTGGCCCCGCACGCCGCCCAAATGCACCACGTCTTGCCCGAGCGAGCCGATGAAATAGCTCCAGAGCGTCTCCCCACCGTATCCTGAGCGGTCAGAGCGGTCGCTTGGGTGTGTATTGGAATATAGGGAGACCCCTCAAGATCTCCCAAGTGCGACCGCCCAGAAGAAGGATTCCAATATACCACAACCCGTTCGTGGTAGGTTTCCCACCAATTCCCTATTAATAGTTAAACTACACACTTCTGTTCTTCACAGCGATAGTCACAGCATGGAGCCAAGCCGAATCGATCGATTTCATGGGCTGTAGCATGTCGTATCCCCAACCGCAAAGTCTGCTGACCCTTTTATTGGACGCCCATTCATTTCTATAGTCAACTACGCACACCGAACTACGCAGAAATACAGTCCTCCCTATTGCACCGGACCAGGTTTCCATGAAATGACACTTTCTCCAGAACTAACAAACACAGCGAACCAACCTTAGCAACGAGCTACCCTGCCAGTAGAGATTGTTGGAGAGCAAGACCTCAGGCTGGCTCCAACTGGATCGCTTTTTCAGAATCCAGTCCCGAATCTCAACAAAGCATTAAAAACATGATGTCAAAGTGTAGCTTTAGCTTCTTTGGCAACGCACTGCTTCGGAATTGGACAGTCACCTGTTTGAAGCCCTTTGGTGTCATGGTCAAATGATCGTCTCCATAATATGAGTGTTTGGGATGATTGGTGGATTTGGAGGCTCAACGTCTCAAACTACCGTCTGTTGATGGTCAATGATGGTAGTCAGGTGACAGATTTCCAAAAGGACATGTGACATGGTCTACTAAGTCTACTATCTACCATAGCCACCGCTACTTTAAGCTGGTCCGACACAACTGGGCCGAACCTAAGATCCCTACATCCAAAAGCGTGAGACCCGAGACCCTCTATCGCGGTCTCTGGGACTCTGGGACTCGGGGGGGATCCACTGTCCCAGTTGGCCGATCCAATACCTTTTCCAAGTCTTACTGCACTCATTTCCACGTGCCATGCAAAGTCTGAGCCACCGTGTGTCTGGTTCTCCTTGATCGGTTGCTCCGCAGCTGCACCCACGTGGCGACATCCTCCTCGAGGGCCACTCCAGCGCGGGAGGCCAACACCGCGCGGAGGACAGCAAGCCAACACAGGAGCAAGGCGCGCGTGCGCCCCATCGAGCGCTGGATTCCGTGACTCTGTGGACCTTCGTCCAGCTGGCTGGTTCAACTTCACATCAGCGTCAAGGCTCAATAGACATCAGTAGAACTCAACATATCTCAACGTTTGTTTACTGATGGTAAATGTCTATGGCTGCAAGAAAAAAAACGAGGCCCGGTCTGGCCTTACCTCGTTTTTTTGCACCATTTTCGTACCTCAGAATCGTCTGATGGCAAGTTTGGAGATATCAAACCACGTTGTTCCATGCTGTTAAAGACTAGCTGTTGTTCCATCGATCCATCCCTCCACCCTCTGAACCAGGCTGCAAGGACCGCATGCAGAACGCAGAGTGCGGTCCAGTGGGATGCGGTCCAAAGGCGAGCTGAACGGCGACTTGGTCAGTCAATGGGAGGCCGAAAAAACCGTAAAATCGCTCCTCAACCCGCCAAAAGCCACCTGACATGCAACGATCCACCCATGTGACGATGCACGAAACATCCAAGGATGGTAGCTGGTGACCCAAGACATCCACCATCATCACTGTTCCAACAATCCACTTCAATCCACTGGATAGCTGGCAACCTGCACTGATAGTGTCCACTTCAACCAGACCTGTTTCAACATGTGGAACACCGATCCTCATCATGATGCCAAAAAAAACAACATGGTGATCCGGTTCCTTCTACGGAAAACAAAACAATCTAGAGAACATCACCGAAACATGTTGGGCGAGATCCACTGAAGGAAATCTGGATTTTTGGTGATCCACTCCGCCGAATTGATTGATCCAAAAGGGATCCATCTTTTTTGTTGCCCTCGCAAGTGGTCAATATAGGCACTGCCTCGCAAAGTGCCCGGAGCTGATGAAGGTATAGTTGTTCGCTTGGTAAGTTGTAGGGAGCTGATCCATGATGATTCAATGAGCGACAAATGATCACACTAATTATATAAATTAAGATAAACTGATTTAGACAAGACCATGACAAGCATGCTGCAATCAGTAGGCACACAGACAGAACCTGACCGTGTCCACGGCCTTACTGGGCTGATACAGCAGCCGAGGCTTTCGGTGACTGAGCCTGTTGACTGTTGCAAATCACTGGTGTGTTTGAAGGCTATAACTATAACACCTAGGACATATGCATGTGCCGATGCGCTTCTCAATTCTCTGCAATCTTTCTGTTCAATAGACTTAGGCTTGTGGCTTGTGTGATTCCAACAGCCATGCCAGCCCCTGTCAGCCGCCCTGCACGCGGCAAAAAGCTCACAGCCTCAGCAAAGCTCGGCATCTGGCCTTCGTAAAGCTAAGATTCATCCATCAATAGGGTATTCCTAAGCCTAACAAAAAACGGCACAACATGTTGAAGAGTCCTCTCTTAAGACAGGTTAGCCGTTTCACAAGGTCTCATATGGTTTCACATGTTCACATAATTACCACACTAAAGAATCTTAAAGAGGTATCTCTCTATATAGGTATAAGACCAAATGGAGGGCCACTCCTCGGCCACTCTACCCTTTGGTCATGGAGCTTCACAAGGGACCTATGCTAACCTCGGACCTCTTGAAATCCACAGCCGGCTTATCCGACAAGGTCAGAAGCCTTGGTACCATCATGCCTCGTAGGGAGGCATTGTCAAGAACGAAAGCTTTGGAAAATACTGATAGCAGGCTAAGGACCAAGAGTAGACTCTGCACTCTGCACTGGGCACTGATTCGGCATTGTTCCAAACCCTTCCGTGGGAGACCGTACCAGTGATGCCATTTTAGGGGAGACCGTATGACCACGTACGAGTTCTTTCCACTTCACAGCAAGGTCTGTCACAAGCACCTTTAGGATTCCGCACGATGTCTCTTTCACCTCGCTGCGGAAGAGGGTAAACTGCGAATTGCGGCCCGGAGGCTTCTGGTCCATGCGTGATCATACGTGCGTGTTTGGGGGCTTCAATCACCAAGCCGATGTTGTTCTGGTTGATTTCCTCTGTTGACCCACAGTGTCCCCAAGCTTGAAGCCCAAGGAGTCCAACAAACTGGAAGATTTGATCTCTAAGAAACCCAAAGATCCGAACATTTCTGCAAGTCTTTGGGTCGGTCATCTGCTATTCGATAGCTGGATTTGGTGTCTTGTGACAAGGGATGCCATAGAAACCCTTGTGATGTCAAGCTAAGGTCCCTGGACACGTGAAATAAATATGCCCCCACCCGCGCAATATCGGAATTGCTTCATTCGATCGAACATCAGGTCGGTTGGCCCTCAACATGTTACATCTCCGCTGTATACAGTATAACAATATGCAACACATTGTGACTTTGACATTGGCTCCTCTTTTTGAGTCAGACAAACACCAAGTTTGGTGTCTCTTCTTGGAGCTCCTCATTTCAAATGATCAATTTGGATGACTGTACCAGCCAATCGCTGGTGTAGGGAAGGGCAAACCAAAGGGTCATTAGCAAAAGCACCCCTGCTGGGAAGGGCATGACTGAATGGCTGGGCTGAGCGGCTTGGGGTTGCGCAGCACCAGGATCACAGAATCTCCACGAAGGAACATCTTGCTGATGAAGCGGTCCTGGGAAAGCAGAAGTCCATGACCAAGACGCACAAGTCCATGACCGAAACACATCTTGGCCAGCTCAGCTGGTGGGGTCCTTGTTCACAGGCTTGGCCTTCTTTTTTCCCCCATGTGGCACCTCAGTCCACATCTCCCGGACATTCTCCAGCACCTAGCCGCGCAGGGAATGATAGAACGGAAAACCCAGGAGGCACCTCGAAGGGACTGGAACTGGTGAGGCTAAGGCGAAGGGAGTTTGATCTACCAGGATCCAAAAGGTGTTTGATCGTCTGTACTTCTTTGGTCGGTGGAGAGTGGTGAACCATGTGGAGCTGCCACGCTGATTTAGCAGTAATGATGCTGTACGCCAATCGAATATATAGTGGTGGACTACCACTTAGAATTGCTTAATTTTCTAGGGATGCAGTTAGAATTAGGAATGTCCTCACTAAACATTCTAACTGCTAGTCCGCTACTATATTTAATACTGCCTCATAAGTTGAGGAAGAGTGGGGCCCGGGGTGTCTTTCCCTTTACAAAAGAGTCATACGTAGCGTGTGACTTCGATCAAGGTTCAGCCGGCTCTTCTGTTGAATGCCACAAGAACGGATTTGTCACCGACACAAACTTAAGTACATACTAGCACCTACTTTTCTGGGGCTATCCGTGCAAACACTCCATGGGATGGGAAGGTATACCGTATACATATGCATAAATATGTTGATTCAAACACATAGAATATATACATATACACTACAGTTACCTCTGAAACCTACTGCCCCAACTGGATCTGCCAGTCTGTCATTCTGATCGTCTTTGGGACCGGCACCATGTTGGAATGGCGGTCGAAGGCTTTCACACGCGCGAGGATCTTTCGGTTGTTGCGGCAATTGATGAGCACCTGGCACGACGAGGTCATTGATGGACATCGGATATCTTAGGATATCTTGGGTCCCATATACACCAATAGTATCATGTCAAACAATCGTACCATGGTATGGTTGCAGTATAGTGCAAATGTAGTTTTATCCAGCCATGCTGTTGCTGTTTGTTTTCTCATCAAAGGGGATACTTGTTTGGCACCTTCTCTCTGTTTCAGGATCTCAAGCTCAACCAAAGCCCTAATAGGGACTCTAGGGTGAAGTGCCAGTCAGGGCCGAACAGCGCTATGGGGTAGTTCCTGGTCAGTCCCAGCAGCCTTCCCGCTCCAATTCATTCGTGGTGTAAAATGCTTAATGTTCTTGACTTTTTGTGAACAAAAAGGGCCACCTTCTAATAAGACTGGACTTTGTGTACTGCATCACGCTGATTCACACATTGCTGGCAAGTATACCGCGTACGATCGTACGACATTCAAAGGACTTTTGTCGACCTTAAGGTCAGCCACTTGCTGAACTAGCTGCTGAGAATTGATGCACGTGAATCTCTCTTGCTGCATTGGCTTGAATCTTGCTACCTCGCTCTTTCTTTGAAAGCACCCAAGAACCGAACAGTCCAGGCTTTGGTTGTCTATCATTCCGCCTTCAGCCTACTTCTAGCATGTCCTGTGAGGACATTCCCTACCATTCAGAAAGAAGCCGCTCATTCCTCACAGCCACCGGCACCCAAGCGCCCGATTGGCGGTCTCCGCGGATGGTGGCCTGCGAGTTGTCCTTCACGCACTTCTGGAGTACTGACCTTGGCAGTCGAAGTCCCATCACGGATGTGAGTCACAATGATTCAATTCACAATCGTCTGATGGACCTGGACACAAACGTCTGAGGGCATCTCTTATGCAGAAAGGCTTGGCATCCAAGCTTTCATGATGCCCACTCCAACTCCAACCATATCATGTGGTCCGCACTCCTCTGTTCATTTTCTGCAACAAACACAAAATTAGATACAGTACATATCAGTACATGATAAAACTACATGTTTTCAGAAGGGGAATTCTTCTGTTCTCATCTGCAAGGCCGACAGCTTATTAATTTGAAAAAGAAAGCTGCAGCAGTCAGCATGGCGGCCCTAATCTTTGCTTTCAAGGTCGGTCAAAGTAAGTTGACTCACCTCAAACGGGTTCAATTCAGTTCCTGGGAATCTCTGAACACTTATATAAATTGTGAGTATTTGTCAGTCAAGACACTTCCATAAATCCCAGGGATATTATGAGGGAGAAACGACACATCACCGGCTCAGCAGTTCTCAGAATCGAAATGCCACACTCAGTGCTGGACAGGGGTCCCACGTCGAAGTTGTCCTTCTCCTGCAGTTGAAACCCAGAAATCGCTAGACTCCAATATATATATATATATATATATTGTAGCCTTTCAGTTACCACATGTGACCACGACCTCCCAATCAATGGTGTATACGACCACTCCCTCCCAATTTCTCACCAAATCGGCTAACAAGCCTGGAGGGACCCCAGTTCGCCACACTCAGTGCTTCTTCGCAAATTCGCGTGTGATCCTCTATCTGTTGCCTTCCAAGATGTTTCCATATTTGATAGACAGGGAGATCCAAATCACTTCCAGGGAGATCCAAATCACTTCCACACTATCATAGGTCGAATAGCAAAGCTACAGGACTCCATCTCCTGGCTTTGAGTAGTACCGCCACGTGTAAACCACGCGATAGCTCAAGCCTTTTCTCGACTGCCAAATGACATCATTAAAACCATTTCCGCTCACTTCCCACTTAAGCCATCTCGAGCCAGTGTCATCACCCAATCTGCCCTGGGGCCTGCTTTCATGCTTTTAGGTTCCATCTGAGAGATGGAAGCTCACTGGCGTTGAATCCAGGTCCCTTGCTAGTCAGTACCCTTTCATAGAAAACCTACTACCTACAGCATCTTCGTTGAATCCAAGTCCCCCATTACCACAGGAATATATGTATATATATTTATATATATATTTCAGAGTGGAACTTGTAGATCAAACGTGCCGCTGTCGGCGACATAAAAAAAAATCAGTCAATATTCCATGACTGGCCAAATGGCCATGGGATATTGAATGCCAAAGCATCCCAACCATTTGCTAGTCAAGAAGCAAATGCATCCTTTTCTTTCAGGAGGGCCCGTCTACAAGTGCATGGCTGAAAAAACATTGGTACAGTCCTCAGTCCTCAGGTCTTCCGAAATGAATTTCCTTCGGAGTCTTCAGGTCGAAAACCCACCGAGTGTGTGGCTCCCTTCGGCTCGGCCTCAACCTTGGCGTCCTCAGCCATGACTCCTGGACTCCATCACAGAACCCGAAGCGGGCTGGGAGTTGTCCGGTGAACAACTGGAACACGACCCTGCTCCTTTTCCATGCTCCATTACCCAAACACTCCATGTATGTAATAGTCAAGTATACCGTTATATAGTTATATATTATACACACACACCTACATTGACCCCTCAAACGTCCAATGTAGCTCGGCTGCCAGTGTGGGCTTGAGCGTCTGGGTCCTTAGGAAGCCTTCAATACACCAGCTAATTGCCAATTGCAGCTTCTTGGACTGGTTGTGAATTATATTGTCCCCATGCATCAGCTTATTGGATTGAACCTGCAAATGGACAAGCATGACTCCAGGCATGCAATCAGGCATGACCCATGCAATCAGTTCACGACTCACGATCCAAGCTTCACCAAGCTTGCTGGACCCCGGTGGCATCGTTTCTGACCATTGGCCCACGACCCCGGTGGCACTGCTGCTCCTGTCGAAAATCCGAGTCTTCCAGGGCCAGACGAACCAGAAGCTGCGGAGACCCAGAACTTCCAATGACTGGCCAAATGCACCTGCTAGCCGTGCTAGCGATGGCCTCCAACCTACTAGCGATGGCCTCCACCCTAGTAGAGATGGCCTCCAACCTCATTTTGAATCCCTGTTCCTTAACAGGCTTGTGGTCGCCGTAGCCCCAATGATTCCGTATCATTTGGACTGACCTGACGGTCATGGTCCACTTCGGTAAACTGACATAGATGACTGGACGTCGGACTACCGAGTCGGTCAGTTCGGGGGAAAGTTCTGAAACATTGGGGTCCAGCGGGGTCCAGCAATACTGCAGGGTACAGAACTCTAGGCACCAGGGTACGTGCTTGCTTTCCATCTCCCCTCGAAACATGGCAGAAACATGGCAGAACCCCCAACAATGCGGAGTGTTGGGGTGCGAACAAGAAGGGGTACGAGACAGGATTCCATCTGGATTCCTGGATTCCCCGTGCAGCTGCCAGGCCTCTCCGTCCAGCTGCATTTTGACCGACCCACTGGAATCCGTCGACGGACCGTCCGACCGACCTGGAGAAAGCCCCATTGGTGGGTGTGGATTGAAATACTTCCACCACTTGGAATAAATAGATCAGTCTACCCAGCCAGTGCCAGGGGGGGGCCCTATGAAAGTAAACACCCCAAATACGTTCTTTTTGTGTCTTTCTTCCTTCTGCGTGTTTGATCTTTGTCGTCTCTTACCAGCCATTCCATGCCATTCCCACACCCAGTTCTCTTTTTCTTGGTCAAGGCATCAATATGCTGGGGGGATAGAAATCACTTTGGTAACTTAGCGGAAGCTCTCCTGAAAGGTTGCCAATCTCCGGTGCAAACACTCCTCTTTTTCGAAGCATGTGCCTGTGGCGCCGCTCACTCTTGTCGGTCAGGACGAGTCTTGGCCCACCCAATTGTTTCATTTGTACCAAGTGAACCTGCACATCGATCTCAATTCAATTGCCTTCTCTGCAAATTGCGTGGTCAATCTGGTGTATTCTTGCATATTCTTATCCACAAGAACATTTGATATCATCCCAGACACAATCTGTGCAACTATCGAATCTGTTGCGCGTAACCCTCCAAATAAACGGACAAGCGATAGCTTTAAGGTGTGTTTTTGGGAACATCAGTCCTATCAGATTTAAGGACGAAACTGTACACGTGATGGACCACTCCTTTCAACCGTGCCATCCTCCCAATCAAACAAGTCTTTTTTGTGTGTTTTTATTTTTTTTTCTCTCTCTCTCTCTCTCTCTTTCTATTGACCAAGTATGCTCGTTCATGTCTCACGATGGTGGGCATTCTCCTCAGACGAGCTGGCTTTGTGGCCAAGTCACATCTGAAACATAAACCTCAAGGGCCCTCCTGCGGCCCAAAAAGAGACAAAAAGGCCTACAACGCCTCGTGGGAAGATCAATGCCTGCCACCTCTGCCTGCTTTCCAGTGCTCTCGTTCTTCTGAAACCGAAACTGGCAACTTCAACTTCAACACGGGATCCAGAATCAACGAAGTGGACCAACTGACCATGAAGCCAGCAAAATGTACTTGCTTAGCTGACTTTGCAGCTTGGTCAAATGCTTCCAGGCTTCCCATCGGTTTCGAAGCTCAGGAGCTGTAAAATTCCTCCAGTTCTTTGTAACCAGCGTTGTGACTTCACCTCTCCCAGTTCTTCCATTGCAGCAGAGCTGCGGAGAGCTCTGGGTGCATTGAAGCGAGCCCGCAACCCTGGTGATAACTGTCTACAAAGGCCCACAAAGACGTTTTTCATCTTTGCCATGGTCCTTCTCCTGCCGTGCTGCAATATGCTTGCAGTTAATTGTTTTTGATGGAGATCTGGCTCAAAGAAACTGATCATTCTGGGAAACCAACTCAATAGTGTAGACTCACTTGTAGACTCTTGATTAACCCCCCGAGGTTGTTCAATCCAAATGGAAGGGTCTATTTATCAATTACACCCTGCTACACCCTGGCTGATCTGGCTCCCTCTAGGATCAAAGGTCCTCTGGTCCACCTGATCCGGAATCCGAGTTCGCAGACATCAACCGCCGAGGCGGGCTGCAGTCGCCCGGCGCAGTCGCCCGGCCCAATGCGTCGAAGACGCCACAAAAACAAGCGTCTTCCCTTCAGATATGAACATGTTTGGAGGTCAAGAAGCATAAAGTTCATAGAATTTGCCTCACCCCCCCCTCCAACACT